GGGAAGGGGGGGGGGGGTGCTATTGGGGAGGGGGGGGGGGAGTGAGGGGGAGGTGCTATGGGGGAGGTACTATAGGGGAGGTGCTATGGGGGAGGTACTATAGGGGAGGTACTATGGGGGTATCGGTCTTTAATTTGCTTTCCACAGTGGTTCGGAGGTGCTTGAAAGTCTGTGCTCCGTTCAGTTGCAGTTGGTTAACCACCAAGTGGGGAGTGGATGCCACAGGTTGCAGCAAGACGGTGACATTGACAGCACTCCTTTTAAGGGCAAGAGCAGCTTCCATTTTCGTGATGCTTTCTGGGGATCAAAATGAAGGTGTGTCTATGGCACACCATGCAGCGGCGGTGGCTTCTGCTACAGCCCGTGTTCCCCCTCTGGTGATCAATGCCCCCCCGCGTAGAGATCCTGCGCCTACAGGTCTCTTTGGTGCTGACCCTAGCTCGGTGGGTGATCTAGCGGACGATGCCCTGATACCACGGCTAGGTTACAACCACAAGGTGGAGCCTGACAAGCCGATTGACATCGTCTTTCTATTTGTTCATGGCGCGTCATTTTCCAGTAAGTTGTTTGACGCCAACCTAAAGGAGTTTCTTGGATGTTTAACTCAAGTAAATGACGAGTGGTTTTGGGAGTTGAGTCTGAGTTATCACATCGAAATGATAGATTGGAAGTCGTGTTTGGCTCCATATCAGTTTAAGAGCATTAGCCGTTGCATGCCAATTGAATCAATGTACGAAAGTGAAGATGGTGGTGGATCGCCGAATGATGATGACCCAGCACTCAACAGACAAGCCACAGTTGTCCAGGCCGCCGGCATGGACCCGGTAAGGTTCGGTTCGAGACTTGGTGTCTTCGGTTTAGATGATGCCAACACACCGCGGAGCGTGTCTAGTAGACGCTGCTCTGCCGAATTGGTTACCGCAAATGAGACTCCCCGAAGCTTCATGTCACGCATCTTTCGCTGGAATTCAGACGACTCCAAAAAGGAGAAAAAATCCCGCAACTCACGCTCTGGAAGTGACGACCTGAAAATTAACGGTCTGCAAGGGGAGGCACTGCAAGGGGAAACACCCCAAGGGCAGACACTGCAAGGGGGGGAACTGCTTGGGGAGAGATCGCAAGGGGAGAGACCGCAAGGGGAGAGACCGCAAGGGGAGAGACCGCAAGGGGAGAGACCGCAAGGGGAGAGACCGCAAGGGGAGGGACCGGGTCCTGGCCGGGAGGGCGTCCGTGCTAAAACGTTGGGCTTTGCGGGGGCGTTGGAAGGACTGCTGAACAACGTGATGAGGAGTAGTTCGACCAAATCCAAGGACCCCATCGACCAGACAGAGGACCTGGTAAGGATGTCAAGCATGCAGCCTGTCCGCGTTGGCAGCCATGACGAACCCGCTATGGTGCCCATCAACGCTGCCGCCGCCGCCGGAGATTCCCCAATTACGTCTTGGTCCTGACCCGAAGAAGCCGG